TGTGCCTGTCCTGGATCTTGCTCTGTAGACCAGGCTGGCCTCGAACTCACAGAGATCCGCCTGCCTCTGCCTCCCGAGTGCTGGGATTAAAGGTGTGTACCGCCGGCGCTGGCCACTGTCTCAGTCACTTCTAATCTAGAATGATTGACTTATGTCTTTCCTTGTCTTTATTTTTATGTTTATTTATTTATTTTGTTTTTTCAAGACAGGGTTCCTCCTGTGTAGTAGTCCTGGCTGTCCTGGAACTCTGTAGAGCAAGCCAGCCTCAAACTATCTGTCTCTGCCTCTCGAGTGCTAGTATTAAAGGCATGTGCCACCACAACCTGGCAAGGATTTATGTATTTCTGTATTTTATGTATATGAGCACTCTGTCTCCATGCATTCGAGAAAAGGGAATCAGATCCCATTTCAGATGGTTGTAAGCCACCATGTGGGTGCTGGGAATTGAACTCAGGACCTCTGGAAGAACAGCTAGTGTTCTTAACTGCTGAGCCATCTCTCCAGCCTTTATTTTTCTTTTGCAACTCGGTCTCATATAGTCCAGGCTAGCCTTGAACTCCCTATATAACCAAGGATGACCTAGAGCTCCTGATCTTCCTCCTTCGAGTACTAGGACGACAGGCCTTCAACACCATACCTAGCTTTTGTTTTCTTGTCTCTAAGGACCCTCAGGGTTTGAAGGATGTAGCCTGTCCCTTGGTTGGGTTATTTCTGGTGTTTCCTCATAGTTAGATCCAGGCTGTGCGTTTTGGCAGGTGCATCACAGAAGTAAAGCTGTATCAGGACATCCCATGGGAGGCGACCAGCATTGACTGGACTATTCCTGCTCCCATTTCCCTTTGTAAACGAGTATTTTAGGGAGAAAACTTGAGATGTACATTTCCTGCTCAATGTCTATTTGTAAGTCGTCGATTATTACTGTGATGGTTAGGGAAAGAGATTTTTAAAATATTTATTCCATCAATAAAAGGGATGAGGAAAAAGTAGGTGCTGTGAGTATGCAGCTGTTAGCAGGGGATGCATTGCAGCTGGGAGCTAGGATGGGTTAACCCTGTTGTCTTTCATCAGGGATGGATGGAGAAGGTGGGGGCACTTACTGTGCAAGCCTGATGACCAGAGTTCAGGTCACAGAGTTCCTGGCCGAGGGAGAGAAATGACTCCTGAGAGCTGTCCTCTGACATCCACAGGGCACTGTGTGGCATGCATGTGCCCACACTCACATACATGGATTGTATACAACATGCAGTAAAAAGAAATAAAATTTAAATTAAACAAAACAAAACAGGACCTGGGGCGTGGACCCTGGGTTTCAATCCCAGCACCAAAACAAATGCAAATTAGACAGCACACATGTGTTGATCCAGTTGGACAGAGCTCAGAGCTCCGCACTGTGACTTGCAAGCTGCATCTTTCTTTTCTGGCAAGTGCATGGTCTCCTTTTGAGCTGAGCTCAGGGCTCCCTCTCCAAGCCCAGCCCACTGCGATCCCTGCAGAAAGCTGCCCCACAGTGATCTCCAGCTGCTGGGGAGCTACAGGCAGACTCTTAAGCTGGAGAGCTGGCCGTTTCCTTCGCTGAAAAAAAAAAAAAAACTAGACTTGGCTACGTTACAATACTTGTTTTTTTTTTTTTTTTTTCCAACTCAAACTGCGGTTTTTCAATCTTGAAGAGAGCTTCTGAACCAAATGTGTCTTTTGTTTGTCTGCTTTTGAGACAAGGTCTTGCTATGTAGCCCAGGCCTCAAACTCACCATTGCGCCACAGTACCCGCAGGGCTAGGATTACAAGCAGATGTGACTCTCTGATTTACTTGTGACTTGCATGCAGAATTACAAGGGAAGACTTACCAAGAAGACCGGCACAGGGGTGTGTGTGTGTGTGGCGGGGTGGGGGTGGGGGGGGGGGGGGGGGGGGGGGGGGGGGGGGGGGGGGGGGGGGGGGGTGGGGTGCTGGCAAAGATTCACCTGCAGTATCTGGTCAGTTCCTGTTCCTGCCCCAGCTGTTTCTGCCTATACTCCCAAGGACTAAGGAAGCTTTCCTTCACAAAGGTTTGCCTTCCCAGATGTTGGAGGCAGAGAGATGCACACGATACAAACCCAGCAACATGCCTATCATTCCACAAAGGTCATCCCACATTTGAGCTTGGCAAAAGGCCTAGATCACAGTGTGCCCGTGTTGTCT